TGAAGTTACAGTGGCTGATGTCTGGGGTTATTCCACGTTCCAATAGTAATGGAAGATAACTTGTTTGGCCAAACTAGCAGCAGCGACCCATAACACAATCGTTTGTTGTAACCTGCATAAAGTAACAGCATTATCAGCAAACATCGTGACGATGTCCAGAAAAGAGAAAATAAGGACATCCCTACTATGTACTACCGCCCCCAGCTAGTTCACTGAATGATGTTACATATGTAACTGCATTTTTGGCACTGCAAGTGCTTGGCCTGCTAGTAAAAAGCCGAAGCGGACAGTGATTATCAAAGTACGTGTGGAAACCCAGTGAACGCAAATTTGAATTTACATTTTTCGAATGAAAATGTGTTTCCCACTTTTTTGTCGGTAGTATCTTCGTTGCCTTCTAGTTAAAAGAAGAAAAATATGTTAGGCGAAAAGGTTGAAGAGAGATTGAGGCACCTGTGGTTGCAGTGACAGGACAGAACACCCGCAAAGGATAACCGCGGGAGAGACTGTGACCATAACCTTCCACGTGTAGAAAGCGACGAAAGTTTTTGGCTACAATAATTCACTGCTAAGTGCTTTAGATTGCTGACCGGGTTCCGTTGTCCATTTTGGGGCAGGTTGAATACAAAACGCGTAATCAACGGAAATTTTCTGCTAATTAATAATATAGTAATGATTATAATTAGTTCTGTGGTCTGCATAGTAGACTTTTTGTAATCCCAGCCCACTTTTTGTGGAACTAGCTGACTAATATTGACTAGACAATTATCCCAGTACGCTGCGAAAACAGATAGGCGTAATACGTAAATTTAATGACAATAATTTAACAATACGTTTTCTAAAGTTATTGTACGCTACAGTTTTTGACAACAACAAACGAAAAAGAATTTGTCTAGCTGCATTTTCCGCCATTGCGGTGCAACTTTTTCTTAAAAAAATATTCTAGGGTCTTGAGGTGAGTACTTTAGGATATCTCTACATTAGCCGTCTACCAAAGAAGGATTTGTGCAAAATCCCTCTTGTAGCAGCAGCAATCTACTACAAACGGATCAGCTGTTCTGCTCAGACATTAGGCTTCATTTATTCAATTAATTATTAATAACTTACTACGTTGAATATAAACTAGTACGTAGCCATTCATCCAGTGTTGGATGATAGCGCTATGAGGGTACTAGGGAGTACAAGATAGAAGGGTACGTCTTCTATTCCACGCAACTATGCAGTGAATATTGCAAAATGACCGTTTTTTGGTCTCTGTAAATTTAGACGTATGCGTGCTTTCAGCGTGAGGTTCAAACGTGCCCAACTACCATAAGACTATCGTTGACCTCAAACGACCAAACAGCGAAGGGATGATATCGAACATGGTGTGTCAGCCTGCCTGTCTCTTCGTCTACGTGATTATTAATGGGTACATCTTCCAAATTACGCTATTATTAGAAAACAACAATATAGATGGTAATTCTCCATATTTTTTAAGATGGCTGCCTTTAAGATGGTAACGTGTCAAAGAGAAAACGAGAACGGTAACAGGGGGGTACACACTATGCTATCCTGACAGTAAGGCCGTAAGACTTTAGCCGATTCGATTTTCCTTCCATTTGTCGATACGGAAGTGCTTGGCCTGCTAGTAAAAAGCCGAAGCGGACAGCGACCGTTGGTTGCTTCTCTATACGTAGAACATTGTCGGTTGTTAAGACTAACGAGGCGTACCACGTTCAACTGATCTTCAAATCCGGAGGGCTAAGGGCAGCTTGACTTCGCGTTGAAAGTAACCCTAGAGGCAATACAAGTTGCTGCCACATAAATTTTGTCGTGCAAATATTAATATGTATATGTTGCCAAAACCGAACCATAAAACCTTCCTTTGAAGCGCCCCCTGATGACGACAGTTCCCCGTATATCTCTATGTTATATGCAGAACACAAAAACTAGTACACATGTTTATACTGTTGGACGATGAATTATCGCGTATAAATGTACAATGCACAGAGATGTTTAGATTGTTTTCGGAGCAATTTTCGAGAAATGAAATTTCGAGAACATTTCCGAGGCACTTCAGGTTTCAGAAACGAGCGCCGGAAGTTTGAAGATGGCTGAATTAGCTAATCATCAGTTCAGAGGAACGTAACGTGGAGAGAGTTCAGTAGTTTCGCCGACTGCCGCATTTAATGGTGGGTACGTGAAATATGCAGCATAATCTTCACAAGCAGAAAAAATACGAATGAAGTGAAATATGACAACATATTATATAGTACAGCATCTTTCGTGTGCCGACAAGCAAGAGCAGACCATGATCGTGAACGCCTTCTCTCATCGTGGTCCCAATGCATGCAAAACAATGCCTTCGCATTCATGTTAGCGCTTGATGGAGTGTTCGTATTTATATTTCATTCGGTGCTTGCGTCTCAGTGCGCGGGGGCTGCTGGCCGGCTTCAGACTAAGGCGTGTCTTCCATCCCTAGATATACTAAATTGAATAACAGAAAGGCTACTGTTATGAGAAAGATTGCACATTTTTTGTGCAACCCAACCTTATAAATCGGAAATCATAAAAACAAATGTAACTATTCGGGTTTTTCAGTGGGAGGATAAATGTATATAAGAAAGCCAAATGAACAAGCTTCTGAGGAGTTCGCTAACCAGTTGACGGCAATGAAAGGTCGACATGTTCTTTTCGTGCTCATGACTGCAGACGTCACCCAAGAAAAAGTGATTCTCCTGGGATTATTATACAATAGCGGGTTATACTGTCCTAAGTAACCGGTAGATCTGACCGAAAGTTTGTACTAGGTTTTTACATCAGTGTGTAACGTATTACCTCGCGGCTACCCTAAAGACCTTCCTCAGGATCTACTCGGTCTTGCATTGCAACTTGACGCATTTTATAGTGACGGCATGTCTCGTTTTGATCAGACACAATACAACGTATTTGGTGCTTTATGTCTTCACGTTGCAATCTAATTTATGTCTGCTTTTCAAAGCAGTGCTTGCTATCTAAAGTTGTACTATATATATGTTAACAACAAAATGCTGAAAACTGGCTCCTTGTGGGAGACTAAAGATTGTGCGGCCTTACGTCAGTAATCTTACAGTCCGTTATGAGCCAGCCTGGCCGTTGTAATACAGTGTCTATAAAATGGTCTAATCCTTTCCCGGGGCCTACATAATAAAGAAAAAATCCACGGAAGCAATAGAGGCCAACGCAGGCAGATACACTGTCGCTAGCCGCCCGGAGGAATTTCCCTTATGCCGTCCTTGAGATGGCGGTTGACTAAGGCAAGGCGGGTTTTCTTCTTCCGACTGCATCTTTTGAATTGCGAGTGGAAGTAGTAGCAAGCAGGGTCTAGATTTTAGGACAGGCCACCGACCTTGACAATATTTAATAATACTTGAAGCATTGGCTGGTTTCGGGCTATTTACAGGCGCGTATGCGTATACTTTCTGCGGAGTATAGCCGCCTGCATTACGGCCTGTACACGCGAGAACAGACATGGGCTGTGGCGTACGCAACGTTAACATGGCATCGCTGTTTGTCGTGTATGATCTTGTGTAGGAGCACCGTCCTTATAGACCACAACTTTTCCACCGCGTTTCTGTCTTTCTGCAAGTACACTTGTATTAGCAATGCTAAAAGGAGATTGTCAGGACCTCTTCTCCACTAATACGTGCTGGCGTAGCTGTTGTCTTTTTTTCCTTTCCTTCTTTTTACTAAACTCTAAATCAACCCGGCCATGGTCATTCTACTTAGCCATCAGCGTCCGTGTCGCAAACAGATTCTAATTCCGCTTGCGCCGTTTGGTATCGACTGGCTTCGTGACTCTCTTTCTTTTCTCTTTTTTGTTTTGCTTACAGGCAGTCGTTCTGGCGTTCTCCGAGAGTGATTTTGATTCTTATGCAGATTGCCGTAGTAGAATACCTGTTGCAGTTGCAGGCCTCCCGAGTGCCGACGAGGCTTTTCCCGTACGTTGACGCAGACGACGTCGACGGGAAAAAAGCTGCTGCTGTCATACTTTCGTCAGTTTCTTCGCTCACTTACCAACGGCCAGAAACGTCGCGTAGAGCTAATGCTAAGAGGGACAACAAAGGCGGCTCGACCACTACGCCCGTGATATACGATAATGTAACGCCTTCACTAGCAGCAGTGTCGTTAGCGTCGGCCTGGACGACGCCAAACGCCAGTCTAAATCAAGGCTGCAACTGTATCCAACGCTACCTTTCTAATATTACTACCACCAGTATTGTCATTACTACAAACCTTAAAACACGAATACCATTGCCAAGTAGCAATCGTCCAATTTTCTTAACTAATTCGTCATTATCACCGATTAATATCGTCAGCAGCAACTTCTTATCGTCACTGGGCATGCCATGCGGCCCATTGACACCGACAGCTTCAACGGTATCGGCAATAACCCAGTGTAGGACCCTACGCATTGTCGCAATTACTACCGCGACCAACAAAAACACAGCTACCATCATTGCTCCTATTGCCGGGTTAAGCAACGTAAATAAACCTAGTAACTGTAAGGCAGCACAGTACCTAGTCTTAATCGTAATCGTAGTAGAAATAATATTGGTAATCGGAACGGTACTAGGATAAAAATTATTAATAACGGTCGTTCTACAAGCCATTGTCGCCGAAATCATCCGCAACAGCGCCAGCGTCCATTTTATCAACATCCGTATCGCAATCGATATCTTCATCATCGCTACTATCACCCTCACACTCATTGAAGTAAGTAACGAACGTTAAAGTACATGTCTCTGATGTCCACAACGATACAATCACTACTGCCGCTGCTGTCGCCCCCACCGAATCCAGTTTCAGTCCCGCAACTCTGCTTGTCACGGCCTTAGCAGCCACGGTCACCAGCGAAGATTCGGCCGCCGCCGTCGCTGTCCGCACCAACAGCTGCAGTCTCAACAGTGACAGCTGCTGCGCAAAGGTAGCATTAGTGAGCAATCATCGAAGTACTAGCGCGAGCCGCTGTTGCCATTGAGACTAAGAAGCACATGATGAGCAGTCAAGAGGACTCATCATCGCAAGAGTCCGGCCCGTCACAGAGCGATCTCCTGCCGCGCGCAGATTGTTCGTTGCGAAGAAACGGCGCCTTGTCGGAGGGGGTGCCCCTTAGTGCCAACGACCTAAATAACTCAGCTTCTGTCGCAACCAACGTCGACAAGAAGAAAGCTACGCAGCTACCTGTTCCCTCGATCTACCGCACTAGACATTCGGTGGCGTCTGCGCCCGACCTGGAGACGATCATCGTCACCGAGTACTCGGTGCCACTCACCAATGCCCACAAAGCGCCTGCTGTTCTCCAGCCGTTCAACGCCTGTCGCCCACTCGCCGTACTGCTGCGATTCCGAGTTGCGCAGGTGGCGTCCGGTTTCTGCACGTTTCTTCTCGGCTGTTCGGCGTTGCTTGACCGCGACACTCGACACGCGCTTTTCGCAGCCTGTATCATCGGCCTGCTATGCGTGTTCTGTACGGCCATGCATATCGTCGACTGTCGGCAGAAAGGCCCGCAAGGCCTACAGTACATTTTCCCCGGCATGCACGTCACTCTTGCCGTGACACTCACAACGATCGGCGTGATCGCCTGTCTCGTCACGTGCGTCGTACACGCAGCCAGCACAGATAACCGCAATGTGTTCAAGTTGGCCGTCTCGCAGAGTGTCGCATTGACGCCATGGCTACTCGTTGAGATGGCGACGATCGCATTGCGCGTCATGTGGGCCCGACGTTACATCAGCTGACCGTAACAATATCTGACGTACCAAACGTTGATTCAACAGACAGGAAGTTACTATAGCAGCAGAACAACAGGTCACCACAACAGCGGGCCGGACAGAGCTAGCAGGAAACGGTATCTGCGACTGCCGCACTGGGAGCGCTTACCGCCATAATGTATGAGATGATAGAAGAATGAGTATGCGCCGCTTCAATAAAATATGGAAGCATTGAAGCGGAAAGGTGAACAAAATAAGGATGGTGGTAATGACGGTCGTATAAATATATACATGACGAATAGTACGAGATATAAATAGGTGTGATGGCAGAAAGTAAATGAACGGGAAAGTGCGTGAAAAGGAAACAAGTGGACGCCATTATAATGAGAATGATAGAAACGATGAGATAAACAAACTTTGTACAATACTGTACATTCCGCTTTATGATGATTTGACGATCGGTAAAAACGGTCATAGAACGCAACATGATAAAAGGTTGTACAAGCTATAAGCTAAAGCCAATGGCAGCGATAATGAGAATGCAAAAAAAAAACCGACCTTAATATAGCTAAGACTACTGTGTGGTGACTGAAAAGAGGTCAAGCGTCCGCATCTCTTTTGATTGTGACATATTCGCGATTATGTTAATGTACAAACATGGTAGACAGATAAACAAGTCGACAACGAGACAAGCAGAAGACAGTGAAAGGTCCACTGGATGAGAGAAGGGGCAATCCCGTATCGAATAACTTTTGGCTGAATCTTTATTTCAGACAACAGAAAACAAGCGGAAGTGGAGGAGACAAACGAAGATAGAAAAAACGAAAGCGTTGGGATTTATCATTATCATACACATATACACAGCATAAACGAATAATGTTTACTGTTGTCATTATCGTAAAAAGGAAAAACAATTTTCGAGCGTATATTAGGTTAGTAACGTAAATGGCGCTCATGGGCCCATATCTCGCGCCGATGCTGTTCGTACGATTCATGTAAATACAGAGAAGCGAACATAAACGAAAATTGAATTGAGCCACCTAACGGCGCTTATAGCTTTCGTATACAGCGCGATGAGAAGAATACATGAGATATCGTGTCATTTTTTTTTTTTTTTATATAAACATCGAAAACAGCGCCAAATAGGGCCACAACGTCTACTTTGAAAAATTTCAAATTTCCCGCTGTTCGTCGATAGTGTAACGATTTTTTAAATCTTAGCTAGCAGGTGTGGCATTTAGCTTTTGGATATTGCCAGGACACCTCAAGGGACTGATAGAAAAATTAAAAGAGACGCGCGTAATTCAAAATGTTTTATGCACCCGATACGTCCTAAGTTGCTTCACCTGACTAAGACCGACTTGGGCGCTGTATCTGATCTCTTTTGCTAATATTTTGTCGGCAGGAAAGTTGTCAAATGCAGATTCGTCGTAAAATGACCATCTGTTAGTAGTAGATTTCCGAAAACATGTTTATGAAACGACGTTCTCAATGGAGACATCTACGCGTATATTGGAAGCAATCCCTGTATGATGATTATTCGAATAATGATTAAGACGATGTAAAGTTTACTAGAGGTACTGCAGTAGAAGTGTACCACCTGGTGGATTTTTTTTGTGAAGAATATGAAACTAGAAATCGAACGCCAGAAATGCCAACAGAATTATTAGTTGTGCGTGATATAACTTTGGAATAAAGCCATTTTGTCAATGACATGAAATTCTGTGTATTATCTTAGACATATAGATTTTTATAGGTACTTGTTGTTATGGTGATACAGAGGAAATATATTTACGATTATACGCAGGCTTTGAACAGACATAGTACATCTTGTTTCTCTCTTTCTTTCATCTTTTTTCGAAAATAAATAATAACTAATAAAAAATCATGAGGCTCGCGATCCTCACCGAAAGACTGGCAAGCATCCTAAATAATCTTGCAGGCACCTGTAGGAGCGGAGTAGGAACGGTGAAGGCATTCTGTTGAGATCAAAAAGGATATAGTAGTAGACCACGGATTCAGAGGTTAGCTTGCAAATGCATATATACTCAACCCGTTTATAAGCGAATTTCTTGCTCTTGGATCAGTCACTTCGAAAGTGCTTAGACAAAATACATTTTCCGTAGATTCTTTTCAATCTGAAAGAAAAGGTGATAGATATTGCGATCTGTTTTTATTTTCGAGAAAGGCAGGGAGCATCCCTGGAAGGACGAGCGCTTGAAGCGGCAATGACGTGCCGTAATTAAATTGCTGGTGGCTGACAAAGGAACACAGCAACAGCATCGGCTACAACAACGCACCTTTGCGTCAATTTCCACCAGGCATTAGGCGTTCGCTTAGAGAAAAGATTGGCTCGTTGTAGTGAGATGAGCTGACATTATTAAGGCGTGACGATGAATCAAGTTCTATTAAGTTGTCTCGTAAGCAGTTGAAAAGTTAATTGCGGCAAAGATTTTTTATTTTTGCTATCAAAGATCGCTACAATAAGCGATCAGAGCGGAAGACATCTCACTTCCTAATATAGCTTTAAGGAAACTAACCTCGGATTCGTTGTACTCAAGGTATAAACAACTCTGTAATGTAAAACAAGCCGAACAGTTGCGGGTTAACGAATAACCTTTGCAAGAAATAGATGATGAACATTTAGGTTGACTAGTTTTTGACGGTTTCACAAAAACATTTTCTGTTTTGGAGGCATTTCATTAGTAGAACTTACAGCTACTGCATATCGTCAGACAGTAAAATGGATGCATAGACTTATACACCGGGAAGCGAGATTAGCGTCTGGAATCAGAATTTACACCTAAGGGGTATCTGTAATTATGGTATTATGTAATGCAAAAAGAAATATTCAAGTGACTCTTTCATCTGGTGCTGCTGTGAAAAATGTTTTCACTCGTTTGGCCCCGACGACGAAACATGTTTACCTCTTCCTAAGCCTAGACATCCTTACAACTGCTTAGGTTGACAATCTCACTGTGCCTTAGGAATGCTGCACCTTTCTTCTCCTGTGTGTGTTTGCGAAACATATCTACTTTGAGCTCATTTCTGTCGGCGCTACATTTTTGCAGGCTGATGCGAGTACATTGAGAGGTTTACGTAGCTTAGCAACTATCAAAAAATCCAACAACTTTTATTTTTAACAGTCGTCCTTTTCTCGGTTGGCCACAGGATCATTTTAGCTATTCAACCCATACGCTTTGTGGAGCGTATGTCGTTAATCATTTCCTTTACGAACATATTTGGCATTGACAGAGCTGTCAAGGGTGGCCAAACATGTTTCTCCGTCAGGCCAATTTTTGTCGTCTACATATAACAATAATATATTGAGTCAGTTCTTTCAAATTAATCAATTGCTCCGCCAGAAACTGACCGTGTTTAGCTTTTTAAAACTAACGAATTCGTTCTATGCGTTTTTCGTAATTTATGTACGACTATCGTTTCTGCAATCTTATAATCGAAGCTAAAAAAAAAAGTAGCGTTTTTTGATTGCAGTAACTTGTGTGACAGCTATTGCTATTATGCATACAAACGAGAAAGCCAATATATTACTTCTTCGATAGTAGCATCAAGCGTTTTGCACAGTGTCTTTCTACCACTTCTGATCTAGCTAAACATGAACCGCTATCCGTCAAACTAACGTTTGCGCCTGTTTTGCATTGATCCACATTTACAGACGTCGTTGCTTATCAGAAACGTTTCGCTGATCAATAAATTTGTTTTACGCTTTTACGTTATCCAAAGCTCTAAGAAAGGAGTAGTTTGATCTCCTAATATGTTCTCATCTTTCAGCCGGAAAGATAAAAAAAGGTCGATTATCTAGACATGACACTGTTTCTTATGAATTTCAAAAGCGGCTGGCAGATCACCGAATCGGTTGCGTTGTCGAGGCACCCTCGTGGACTATCCACACTATCTTCAGACGCAAGCTGACGCTCCCATAAGCCCAGACGCATAAAACCCTGCATTAACGTAAGTGGCATAAAGGCATCGATAAAACCCAATTGTTTAAATTATTATATTAAAGCAATGATAATGCCAACGAAATGAAGGGTTGGAGTGCATGCTTCGAATGATGCAGGTACATTCATTGATAGGTTGATTCATGATGGCCTGATCGATTGTGCAAGAAGCTGCCTATATAAAATATCGTATGAAGAATAGCTCAAAGTTTTATATACAACGCATAAGATTTTTTCGATAGCCTAAGCCAATAGCACGGCAGAGTAACAATAGATTCTATCTAGGATCGTACTAAAATAAGGTAGAACTGGAGGAAATCGAGGAGGCATGTTCAATGAGGACTGGAAGAGCCGAGCCTATAAATGAACTATGCTTCACAAATTTGCCCTGCTTTGGAAAACGACGGGTGCAAGCATCTCGATGAACGTTATATAGTGAGAATGAAAAATTGTTATATGGCATTCGTATACACACCATAAAGCCATTTGCACTTCTTCCAAGTTAGCCTCCCGCGGTAAGCATGCATATGCATGAATGCATACATATGAAGACGAGGATAATCACTTCTGGGCCAGCGACAAACTAAGTTTATTTAAAAACAAAGATATGCATACTTTGTCTGAAAGATTTGATCAGTTAGCAAAGGCCAATTTATCTGAGATATCTCGTACGCGATATTGAGAATCGCATGCTGCATACTCATCATAGCGGCCCGGTAGCCACGGAAAGCCCAGTCCGTCCATGTTCCTTGCGGATTCAAAATCCAGCATTACAACAAGATCAAAGACAAAAAAGACGATCATTAGACCGAAAGATCAATCGCTGGGGCCTGCTTTAAAGATGAGAATCTGCGTTAACCTGATTATTGGTGATCCAAAAGCACGATTCTCAACAAGAGAAATGCTAAATAATATAGAATTGTTAGTTAAAACCAAAACCCGAACCACTGCCGTCGATTACAATGAAGAAACTGGGCTTTGAGTTTTTAGCACTTCAGCACGCGGCAGATAATCGTTCTACTGAACGCTTTTATGTAACGCGGCTGGATACGATTAGAAAAGTAATATACGTTCTGCACGTTGAAAAAAGTCGCTTTTTTGTTTATGTTTTGAATTCTTCGATTTACATGTGCTGTCAACGTTAAGTTTGAACTTGACTTGAAGTTAATTGGTAATGTTCAAAAAAAATACAATCATCCCACGAGTCTGCGAAGTCAGCTTTGCTCGACCTGTTTGTCTCATGTCAACTGAATTCCGACTGATATACGTTTGTGTTCGAAAACATACACGGATCTTTTACATCCGAAAGCTTCCAGGGTTACAACAAGGCATACTTGAACCCGATGATTGATTTCGGTTTCGAAAACCGAAATCAATTATCGGTATTGGCGGTACGTGTACACGCGTCACAGAATATTTTCTAAATAATTTCATACGTAGTATAAAATTTTTCTTCACGTCTATTGTTGCTTCGTAATTGTATTTAAAGGTTTCGTTGAGATGAGTATATGAAAACAACGGCAAAACTGGAAAATGCTTGGATTCATTTACTACAATGCGCTTATTCTAACTAATAGGATAACTTTTGGCCATCTATTATAAATTACGTATGTTCTACTAAGTGCTCTCATAATGTTGAGTAAATAGTCTTTTTTTGATATAGGCTTTTAATAAACACATTACACCATTGTGTTTTTTAAGTAACGATAACGTTAATAACCGCAGAAATAATAGTCTGACAATAAGATCCACGCAAACTGACAAAAAACAGGAGGTAAATCATAGACCTCGATCGAGAATGTGCAAAGCGCTGAAACAGAACGTAACCAAATGCCATTCCGTATATATTCGGTTTGATTGTAGTAGATAAAAGATATAGTCTCATAATCCTTAATATGGAGATAATATAAATTGCCATCAATACACCCAACTGTTTACTCCTTAAAAGCCTCAGTCTTGGAGTTCCCAGCTCAAATCCTTAAGGAGGTATCGTCACATATTTACATCGATCTTTCGTATAATGAATTCCGTTGAATTCTCGGTAATCTGGGATTATATGTTGGATTATTGTTTAAATAGCTTTCATGTTGTAAACCATTTTAACTCGTAGAAAATGAATACCTTTCATAATTGCTTTAAAACGTCTAATGCGTCAGTCTAAAAATAGGACGACTTTTATACATAGACGACAAAATTACAATGGCCACATAAACACAGACCTGTCTACGCTATAAAATGCTTGCAAGGCCATAGCAAGCATTTCATGATTTCCAAACCATAACTGTTCATCTTGCGGCCTGCGGGCAGCGTAGGCTGATACGCTACCCACATCTAATAAAATAACGGTCATCATCATAAATGACAACGCACTTTTTAAAGGAGTCCGTGGGAAACGAGATTACGTAGCGAACGGAAATTTCTCGACCCAATTAAGCGTTGTATATAATTTAACAACGATTCGCCACTAACGTCACACCATTGAATATTTTCATTCAGACGGGTCACTGTAAATATATTCAGTTATAATTGTACTGTTTAAATTTACGCTTATGTATATATCGGTTCTTTCAAACCACATATTTTCGCCATCGTATATCGGGTCTGTATGCGTTCGATGTAAGTAAGAGTTCTAAGGAAAGGAACACGTGCCAAGAACAAAAAGTTGCTTATTCCTCACGAGCATGTTTCTTGTTGGTGCGGCCCTAGTGTGTCATAAGGTTCTAACAGCCG